TATTCTTTCCTCCCTTCCTCTCAACTTCTTTTTCAACTCCATTAGCTCCCTCCTTTCCTCTTCGCTACCTAATTCTACTAACCAAATTTTCGGCTTCTCCCTACTTTCCCCTCCCACCCCTTTCACTCCCTTAATGTTCACTTTTGCCCCTATTTCCACCATAAGCTCATTGACTTTTTCCTTCCCTTCTTCCCTCCCCACCTTTAAACCTCTAATTGTAATCCAACATTTCCTTTTCTCCTTTTCCAACCGTTTTACTATTCTGGACAGGTCTGCCACATGCCTCTCCAACTCCTCCGTTTGACCCTCTTCTGTCCCCTGCCTACTCCCAGTTGCCTCTTCTCTTATCTCCAATTGCCCAATTCTCTTCTCCAGCATCGACATCTCCACACTTCTCTTTCTCTCTGCTCTCTCCAGTATGGTTTCAACCATCACCACTTTTTTCATTAAATCTTCTTTCTCTCCTCTCCATCTTTCTTCCCAATTTGCCCACATATTTTTTATCTTCCTCACCTCTCCTCTAATCATATCCATTTTTTTCTTCCTCTTCTCCTCTCGCTTTCTTCCCTGGCCACTTTAATTTCCCTTCCCAAATTTTCAATTCTCTCATTAGTCTCCTCACTCATTTTCATCACTGCTCTCGCCATCTCCCTCATTCCTGCCAGTACATCACCATAATCTTTCAACTTTTCCTCTCTCTCGTTATTCTCCCCCTCATTACTCTCCTCGTCCTGATCATTTTCCCCCCTAGCCTTCTTTCTATCCCTCACCTGCTTTTGCCACAACCCTACATCTTTCCTTGTTATCTTGGCAAAACTTGCCACTCCCTTCGGTCTACTTCTTCTTCTAGCACTAAATAACGCGTAGTCCGGCAATGAAGACGTTGACAACTTTCTCAAAACCTTAGGGGTACTAAAAACCTCCTCTTCTTTTTCACTATCCGTCCCTGGATGTTCCGTCTCACTTCTCCCAATGACTTATTTCCTCCTGACTACCAGTATTCTCGTGCCCTCTGTCACCAGCATTCTCCTGACGTCTAGCGCCTTTTATCGGCGACCTCTCTACTAGCGCCATGATAACCCGCCTTCACTCAAAACTCCTTACTATCTCTACCTCTGTCACTCACTCTCTCGCTCTCCAGGCTCCCAACCTAACCTTCCAAAACCTCACACACCTTTACTCACTTTTTACAGCCACACTATTACACTTCACACGACTTTTTTATCACACTCATACACACAAAACCACTCACTACACAATTCACCGATTTATACTACCCTACCCTCAAAAAATACGGGAAAAAACTTTGTCAAAAGACCAAGAAACACAGAAACGTCCGTATTAAACCGTAACCGAAAACGGAAGCCAAGTGAGGAATTATATAGTTTTGAACGAAAAGTTCATTTTTGGGGGTGTTTACCTCTAAATTTATTGAGGTTGGTGGTGAAAATGCTACTGTTTAATTCAATTTTTCGTGCTAAATTATTATTGAGGAAAAAAATTTTTTTTATTGAATTTTTCTTTATATTGTGAAATTTCTATATTTCCGTAAAAACTTTAGCGGTGGCACGGTGAGCCTTAACCAGACTCAACTGAAAAGTCTTTGCTCAGTGAAAATTTTTTTTTCTCGTGAAAGTATATAGAAAATACAAACTTTTCCCAAAAAAATCAAAATAATCTATGGAGCCGTTTTTGAGAACAGTCCGATTAAATATTTTCACCTGTAACGTCCTGCGTTATTTTAATAGATTTTATGTTCTTTTCCCTTTTAATTTTTTCTTGTAAATTTTGTATGGAAAACATCTGTTTTATCTAAACTATGTCTCATATTTTTTTTGTGTAAATTGTTTGTCTCTCTTTTAAAAAACCGATAACGGGACAAAGTATTTTCAGTAGTCTTCACTCGTGGGATGCACTTTGAAATTTGGAAAATTAAATATAGATAAGAATATAGCTATTAAATCTTTTTAGAAACTCTAAAGTACATCCTTGCAGCTGTTGACTGCTGGGGTCTTTTTCATATCTTATCACTTTCCCACGAAAGTCCAAGAGTCTCTACCATCGAATTACATCTGTTAGTCATAAAACTATAAAAAATATTAGGATACAAAGTCTGTTATATTTCTATTTTTCTAAATAATATCTCACACGTTGATTTAGAAAATTTTAAATAATTTTAAATAATTCTTAAAAATATTCTTTTAAATTTTTAATTAAGTTTTAATATTAATGTTTGGAATATCAAATTAATTTATTATTAATAATTATATATTCAAATTACTAAAAAAATAAAATTAATTAAATCTTAATTAACAATTTAAATTAATATTGAAATTTTAAACATTATTATAAAAATAATTAACCATTTACACTATAAGTAACATTAAATTTTACATGTTTCTTTCTTTTTATGTAACTATTGTCATTTAATTATATATAATTAATTTTACTTAATTATCTTTTATATTCATATATGTATAAAAAAGGTATGTGTGTGTGTAATTGAATGAGTAAATTTTTAATACTGTATAATTAAATATTCATAAAAAACATGTATTTCATAAATAATTTTAAGAATTTTTGTACTTTTGAAAATTCGTTTAAAAAGTGAATTTTGGCTCCATCTTTTAAAAATAGTGTAAACTATAGTTCCCCACTTTTTCGAAACACCCTAATCTTAAAGATACGCCCACGCAAAGTCATCCCTTGCAAGGCTGGGCCTGAAAGATCCAATGACATCTTTCTTTTAGATAAGTTTTTCATGAAAAACCCAATCACTGATCTTTTCAACCTCCCACTCTATAAAATATTCATCTCCAAATTTCCACCCAACTAAAAAATTTAAGTAGGGATAATAATATAAAAACTGAAGATTTGAATTAAAAACTCAGTTCAATTTCTAAATTCAAAAGTCAAAATCTCTCATTCAAAATTAGTCAGTCAACATTTCTCAATTTACATTTCTCAGTCAAAATTCTTAATTCTTATCTCAGTGCATTTTTCTAAGTTCAATTTATTCCATTCTTAATTACGAAGTCACGACCACAAATTCACATTTAAACAAATTTTCAACGATTTTCAACATTTATAAATAAAATCTAAAAAAGTAAGTACTTTTATTGTATAATTAATTACTTTTCTCTTCTTTTCTATGTCTATTCTCTTTTTCCCTGATAGTATTGGTACAATTTAAGTTGGACCCATACTATCAACATCATTTGTTTGATAGGACCTTTTCCAAATTTTGCCGATTCAATTTTAGTTGTATCGACAAAATTTAATCCATATAATTCCAATTTCCTTATTTTTCCAAAAGAAGATTCAAACTCAAAACTATCCCCAAGTTAGAGGACAATGCGTTCCTGGCTTGAAAACAATTAACTTAATTTCTTTGCTTTGTGCATCTTAGGATGTAACACACCATTAAAAATATATTTCTTTGAATGAAAACAGCGAAAAGAAGTTTATTATTGTAATACAGTATCAGAGGTGGATCCAGAAGGGGCATATATACATGCACCCCACCAATAATCATAGTGGGTAGTTTTGGGGTTAAAACCTCCTCACCCCGTGAAATTTTTAATTTTTTTGAGAAATTTAAGCAAACATAAAATCTTTTCTCAGACTTCTTTTTTGCCTACGCCCCTAAAAAAGCAAATGAACTTATAATAATTATCAATTATAATATAATTGATAGTTACAATAATACCTATCAAGGTCTCGATGCCTCTGCGGTTAGTGCGTTCGGTTAGGATTTTTCAAAATATGCGAGTTGTGCGTTGAATTGCGTTTAAGGTAGAGAAAAAAATCATGTATGTGGAATCTACATAATATAAAATCTAATACTAAGTTAAACTTAATAAATCCAATAAATTTATTTTATTTTTATTTTTTTTTAAATTTAATGATGGAATCGAATATTGGATCGAGGTTGAATTTCAGTATCGGACCAATGTCGGATTCCAATTGTGTAACGGTGTAGGAAAACAGTATCGGTCCGATCTTACATTTCAACATCCTTTCGATACGGAAACAGTACCAAATATCAGTATCGATACGACATTGGTATGTCGAAATCCGACATCGGTCCGATACTGATCCGGTATCAGAACCCTCCTTAGGTTCATATTGTATGCGAGTGTGAATGAAGAAAATATTAAAAATGTACTAAGATCATGTGTTTACGCATGCACTGTATAAAGTATTAAAGGAATTTTAACTGTTTGAAAGAGGGAACGATTATTACCCAGTTTTAATGTGTCACTTTTCCTTAAACAAATGATTTACCATATAAAAAATGTCAATATTCCTTGGTTTGGTAAAAAAATATTCCCATCTTCTAGATAATTGCAATTTTAAACATGGTAAGCTTACATTCTGCAATGAGAATTTTCTCATCTGCTGTAATTTCTCAGTCATTAGTTATTTTGCTACATTGAAAGTGGGTACTATTATTACCTACATTGAAATTGTCAAAATCATCGGAGATTTGACAATTATTTAAAATGTGAAAGTTACAAAATTTTATGTTTCTCATTTTAGATTCTGTATTTTTGCCGCATTATAAGAATTGCTATTACCAACAATTTTGTAGATTGAAATCTCTATCAGTTATAGTGAAAAAAAATTTAAGAAAATTCCGTTATGACTTTTTACAGAGAGATGAAAATCGTTTAAACGTGAATTTATTATGCTTTTGCAAGATAAAAGAGATGTTTCCATTAACGAAAACACTAAAATTTCAGTCCTACAATATTTTCTTAATTCTTAATCTCAAAAAAATTTTATCCCTTAAATGTTCACCATTGCCGATAAATAAATATACGTGTAAATTAGTTTTTCGAGTACTACAACATATATCAAGATGAACGAAATCGGAGGGGGACACCTACCTAGTGTTTTTTCTTTCTATATATGAAAAATATTGGTTGCACCGCTCCTGTGCACACATAAATTTTATCCCATATATATTGTGTATATAATTTTCTCTATTGATTTAGGAATACGTGATTAGGACACAAAGAGGTCCGCTTCCTGAAAGATCCTGGAGAGTTTGTAGACGTTACAATGACTTCGTACAACTCAATGGGGCTTTATCGGCTTCTGGCCTCAACTTATCTTTGCCCCCTAAGAGGATTATCGGTAACATGGAACCAGATTTCGTAGCTCGACGTCAAACAGCTCTACAGGTTAATTTACTTTACATAAAAATTATGTTCAAATATCAGAGATAAAAATTAAAATTCGAAAACCCGTAATTTTTAGAGGATTCAAAATTACACAATAAAGTTTTCGGGTGAACTGACGTATTTATATGTGAGGCATTCTCTGAAAAAAGCTACCTCTTAAAAAAAGAGTTCTGGGATTGCACATTAGGGCATTTTCCTAAAATGGTGGCCAAAATTAAAATTTCTGCATGTAGTTAAAAATCTTTTTTTATAGGTTATTGGTTATATATATATATGTAATAGAAACCTGGCTTTATTTTGATGAAGCAATTGATTTTTTATATTAGCGTTTAAACCCAGTGGGCACACTTGTTCCTAATACGTCCTGAGGAAGTCTTTTTGCGGACTTCGATTAAAGACGTCTTTAATTTCACCTCGTATGGTATATCTTAACAACGTGAATAAAATGTCTGAGGTACCTCCAAAAAAGGTTTTATGTCTGTTCATAAAGGTGTCTTTATCATGTCTAAAAGACGTCTTTTTCAGATTTTGGAAATAGAAAATTTTTCATAAATATAACTTTTATATTTTATGTTCTAAGTTCAACGTAAACATTGAAACTGTTAAAGATAAATGTTACAGAAATTTCTTAAGTTGGATTCATTTAATTGACAAACAAGTTCGTAAACTTTGTGAAGGATTTTATCTGTCTCCGATGGCTCAGACGTTGGAACCCAACGTATCGCGAGTTCGATCCCAGGTCCGGGAGGATTTTTCCATTCCTGCTTTCTGTATAAGCGTGTACAAATAAAACAAAAATCAAAATAAAGTCAGAATTTAAGTAAGATAATAATTAATGTGTTTTAACTCAAAAAATATTCTGAAGAAAAAAAAATTTCAAAGTCTAAAAGACGTCCTTTCCGAATATCTTTTAGACGTCCTTTTCGGATGTCTTTTAGACGTCTTTCGGCCAGACATAGAACGTCTTAAAGAAGTCCATTGTATGTCTTTATGATATTCTCGAGACATTATCATCAAAGTCCCAGGATGTCCGCGGACAAAAAAAGACGTCTTCAAGACGTATTTTACACGTCCCCGTGCCCACTGGAAAGCTATACGAAACGTATTAATGCTTAAACATATGTTTATGAGACTTATTTTAAAGAGTAAGTTGTAAAATAAGTATTATTAATTAAAAATATAAAATATACGGAAAATATCGTTGACATCTAATCTCAGTAGTAAGTATTTTATGTTAAATATGATTTATGTTAAAGTTTTTTGCTATTTTGAATGAAATTTGAATTTTGGCCACCTTTTTGGAAAAATACCCCATAGTAGATTGGCCTAACAGTTTGGTAAATTGATATCCTATATGAAAGTAACAAAATCTCAAAATATAAACTTATTTTTTAGAAAATTATTAAAAGCAAGGGGATTCAAATTTTTAGTTTTGCGTAAAACTGTTATATGGTTATATAACTTCTACAAAACTTCATGAATTTTAATTTGTCAATATGGTTTTTGGACTCGCATGACCAAACCCCAAAGGGTATATGGGGTTAATCATGCAAAAAGTGCCCCCGCAACTAATTAATTCAAATTGGCACCACACAGGAAAAAAAAGTCTTACTCCAAGCATAGTCTAATTTTATATTTTGATTAGAAAGTAGTTGATAACTAATACCAATCACAAATAATGGTTTAAAAATAAGCCGTTAAGGTCTTAATGAAAAACGAGATATTAATATGACAAATACTTAGTTCTATTAGATTCAAAACAAGCCTTTGTGGTCTTGGACTCAATTCAAAATTTTATGCGTTAGAAATGAGACGTTAAAAGTCTTCAATCATGCCCATGAGGTCTAGATACTAGTGAGTTGTAACTAGACGTACAACGAAAGTGCCCGAGTGTAAAGTGTCATAGACGCCTTTCCAAAAATGTGACGCGTCTATAGTTAATCGGAACTAAAAGAATTAATTCAAAAGACTCACATCTTCATTCCTGTATAAAAAATTTAAAAACTATGTTTATAAAACATTTTCATATCATGAATTGTTTGTGTCCTATAAATTCAGCTTTAATTGTTATGAGTCTGAAAATAATGTTATATATACAACATAATTTTATTACAATTTTCTCACAAATATATAAATTATATACAAAAATAAATTGGTCTCTTTATGTATTATATATAAAGTATGATTTATATCAATAAAATGTTGTTCGATGTTTCAAAACTTGTGTAAAATTTCAATAATATGGTGTTGACAGGTTTCATAAAAGTTTAGGTTATGTTAGCTAATTTTAATACCGCGCAGTGGCTTGATTTAAGCCCAGGTTCGGGCTTGTGGCTACTTTCTATTTCAAAAGGCAGCTTATTGTTAGCCCCTACAGTAGGCTTAAAGTAAGACTTATGCTATGAGCGAGTTAGAAACTATATTCGGTCTAGTTTGTGTCTCATATTGAAAGTAGCTTCTTTTCGGGTTTGAAACAAAACTTATTTTTTCCTGTGCATATATTGGTACCCCCATGAACAAAAAATTCTTCAAGTATGAACCCTCAATACGCATTTTTGAGGAGTTATGGAGGGGAAAAGAAAAATCAAAAAACCTATTTATCTCGAAAACTACATAACCGATTTTAATGAGCTTTGGATATGTTATAAATAAATATAAAGCAATTCTAAAAAAAATATCAAATTTTTTTTTCAAAAAAAGTAAAAAGAAATCAATTTTGAAATTTTCAAAATTTTTTTTGGAGGTGATTTTTTGAAGTGACCACTTTATTTTTTTTAAACATATACCTTATAATGTCATCTTTCACATATATTTTTTGCAGATTTTTAAAATGTAGTTTTTGAGCAATTAAGCAAATATTTTCCCGGATTCATTGTAAAATATCAACAATGTCATTTAATTTCTATTACATATTAAAATAAATTTATTAATTATTTATTTATAACAGCAGAAGCTTGAAAAAAAATAAAATTTCTGTTGCCAGAGATCGAGAAGTCATTTCCCGTTGTTTTTGATGTGCTGAATCCGAATCTGGCAACGAAAACCTCCCATCACGTCAGGATTTTGAGAAAAATGGGGGTAAATGTCCCAAAAATCACGTTTTTTGCAGTCTTTGAAGATTTTTACCGGGTAAATCCGACGTGATAGAGACTTGTCGTAGGAGTCAATTTAAAGCTTGAACTCTGTACTTTACGACGATATAGCGGTATGGACAACAACAAAATAAATTAGCTGTCAAAAATGGTTTTTTTAAGTTGGTAATCATGAAAGTTGACTCACACTGTTCGTAAATATAACTATTTAAAGAAATACTTGGATTCGTTTGGAATTTGTTACTCGGGGCACGGAAAAAATATTTCGTCAATCATTAAGAGACTAGTGTGTCACTTTGAGACGGGACACATTTCCGTAGAATTTTAGTTAACTTTTCTTGAATAACTTAAAAACATCGTTGAAATATTGAAAACAAGTCATAGAATTTTTAGAATTCAGTTTGTTACCAGTTATTTTTGATTTAATGTTAAACTATTAGGAATAGATGTTTGAAAGGTACTTAATATTTATTAAATGTCATTTAAATTTTCAAATACTTTTAACTGAATTCTTTAAAAGTATAGAATTTATCGAATACCATACGATTGTGTGCAACTTTAGTAAACGTTTACGAATCATTAGTGAAAAGTATGTGAAACGTTAGTTGACTGTGGCAGACGAACTGCACAGAGATGCGACCTCGAAAACCCCCGGGTGACAAATTCCAAACGAATCCAAGTATTTCTTAAAATAGATATTTATATGAGAGATTCTTTTTCAATCGCCCCAGCCCAAAAAGTCAATGTTCTGGGATTGGCATCATACTTTGGTAAATTGTTGTCCTATATGATAGTAATAAATCCCTAAAATATAAACTAATTAAAAAAATATTTGTAGAAAGTAGAGGGGGTTGAAGTTTTGACGTTAAGGGTAACATTGTCATTTTCAAATCCGTTTAACTATGACAAAAGTTAATGGATTTTAATTTATCTATAATGAATTTTATTGCATTTTTCACGTACTTTTCAAAAATGTATACAAAATTTAAAAAAAAAAATTTTTGACCCCTTTTTTGCTTCCTCGTGGAGGAAGCTTTGTAGTCCTTTCGTTTATAAAACTTTTCAAAGTGGCGGAAACAAATTTTTTTCTTTATAGAAACATGTTATATGAGATCCTGATCAATTGTCCGGATGTATGTATGTATGTGTGTGTGTATGTGTGTGTGTGTGTGGATCCCTTTTTTGTTTAGAAGATAACTTTAACAGGTTTTAATGGATTTAGATAAAATTTGGTAGGCTCATTTATCATATTAATATCTCAAATCTGACCAAAGGATTTTTAAAAATACCTCCAAAAAAAATTTTTATCGTCTTTTTTCCAAAAATTTTTTTTTAATCGAAAAAATTTTTAAATAGAAAAATTTATGATTATATATAATAAAATCGTATGCCTTACGTTAAGACGAATCTATCGATATATATATAAAGTATACATTTGAGGTAAATTTAAAGAATTAATGAAAGTTAAAAAATCAAAATCACATTTTGGCTATAAAATTTTGTGATTTTTTAAATTGAAGTTTATATACGAAATAATTGTATTCCTTACGTCAAGACGAATCGATCGATATATATAAAGTATACATTTGAGGTAAATTTAAAGAATTAATGAAGGTTAAAAAATCAAAATCACATTTTGGCAATAAAATTTTGCTTTTTCCACGAGGAAGCAAATTTTTTTGCTGATGCCAATCCCAGAACATTGACTTTTTGGGCTGGGGCGATTGAAAAAGAATCTCTCATATATACAAACAGTGTGAGTCAATTTTTATGATTGTCAACTTAAAAAAACCATTTTTGACAGCTTAATTTCTTTTGTTTTTGTCGTAAATACAGGGTTCAAGCTTTAATTTGACCTCATGACAAGTCTCTATCACATCGGATTTACCCGGTAGAAATTTTCAAAAA